ACAGCATGCCGTATCTCTCGCGCATTCTGGTCAGATCACATCAGAGCGTCACATCGTCCCTGTTAATCACAAGCCAACCATTTGTTACCTTTTTTTTCGGTTGGTTGCACTGAAATAAGGTGTTGTCGTAAATTCCTTGCTCAAGGGAATTCGCGGTTGAGGTATCGATCATTCCTTTACCGTAGTCGAACACGGAACTTCAGGAGTTCTAAGCAGACCTCCTTGCCATTGCGCCATCTCACCTTAGAACCAGCTGCCTCCGGTAAAATAAAGGTTGCACGATGACTTATTTTCGTTGGCATTTACATCATTAAATATTTTCACGGTGTTAGGTCTTTGTTTTTCCCGTATTCATTTTTTACCTGAGTGAAGAATTTGTCTACTGTAGGAAGCCAGCGAGGAAAGCAAAGAGTCCGGTGAAAGTCCTGCCGGTGATGCTGATGCGACGGACGACACGTCGGATGCAGTTGTGGTGCCGGTGCCACATCCGAACATATGCAGAAGGTCGTCGCACGACCAGGGCAAGTTCACCTCACTATTGTCGCCTCAGTTGTCCGAGAAACTGCAGATTTCTCTTGACGAAAGCCAGAAGGCCGGCGGCAGTGGCGAAGCTGCTAGTTCAGGCAAAAAGTCACGGGATGACAAAAGGTACTTATGCGTTTTGATCGCGATTGTCCATTGGCCATCGAATGTTTTTCCAGCAGTGCTAAAGTGCTGTAAAGATACATTGTGCGACTAAATTTTTTATGTCTATGTTTTTTACTCTTTGCGATGTCGCACGATGAGGATGCTACAAGAAAATCTTAAGCGGAACTCTGTTGGCAAGACGACGGAGAAGGTGTTCGAAGGGCAGACCGCGGACCAGGTGCTTTGATTATATCGAAGACCTGGCATTGTGATACTATAGAATCCCGATCTCTGATTTTATTCCTTTGGCTTCAGAAAAGAGCCATTGTATTTACCTCTCGAAACAGTGTTCTTAGCTACTCGAAAGTGGCAACGGGCTGTGAGAATGAAATGAGTTTCTATTCTTTTGTCACCGGAAAGCGAACTCTTGCCAGACGCTTCTGCGACGTTGCCTCAAGAAAGAATACTTCGGAACCTTGTTGCTTATAGCGATGGCGGTGAGAGCAGACGCTGGTAAATTATAACGTTCAGCAAATATTCGGTCAGTAGCTAAAGCACTTTATGAAAATGCGACCGGTTGGCTGTTTCTGTTTGTTGTACAAGTGAAGCTAAAGTGCGACTGAAAGCAGCAAGAAGTAAAAGACATCCAAAATCGATGCCCTAGGCAAATCGTCTTCTTCACAGCATCTGTCAGCATCACGGGCTATGATATCACATCCTCGCTCATACCCAAATCATAGAAGCCGTTCTGAAGAACTGTCCCGACCTAATGGTGCCAGCTTTTGATGCTAACGACGAGTGAAGACAAACTTTTCTAAGTTCTACTGTCACCGTGCTAAACAGCTGACTCATAATCTTCAGGCTCATATGCGTTCCGAAGACGATTGACTGTCCTGTAAGAATCTATCAGGAACAGTGAATCACCTTGTCTGACGATGTTTCTTGTGAAGCATTGCCTGTTGTTTCGTTTTCCATTTATAAAAGTTTCTTAAACTTCTAGGAGAACCAACCTGCGTCAGGTGAGCGCCGGCCTCCTGCCGGAGCGGCTCGGATTGGACAGGTTGGGCCAATCAGAAACGTCTGTCGGCTCGAAAGAGTTCTTCTCAACGCCCCTCGAATATGCGCCGGTCGCCCAGCAATTAACCGCCTTGTTTCCTAGCGACAGAACCGCCCTCCCCGACACTCTCTTTGTGATCTCAGCGTTCGACGTTCACAGTTCGGTACATACTGCATTTATTTGTCGTCGTTGCGCAGGTTATAAGGCTCAAGTAGAAACATACCTATGCGCAATTCCGTACGTGTGCTAAGCTGTGTCGAAACTTCGGTTTCATTTTCGTACCGTGACGAACGTATATACACGACAGTGCTAATTTCCAGGTTCTAACCGTGTCTGAACGAGGTTCGAAATATTCGATGAACCGTTCGCAGTCTTACGGGGTCGCATCACACAGCACTGTATTATGCTGCTCCAGTTTCTGCCGTAATTTATCATTAGAACTAGCTTCTCATAATATAGCATAAAATTATATTATGCCATTCTGTACTGTATTGTATCCATCGCGAGAATACCTCTGTTATCTAGCCCAAATCGTTTGTTGAAAACAGGATCAAAGTAGAATCGGTAAAATAAGATTTAAATGTTATTGACAGATTATGGAACATTCGCTTTAGATGCTTATTTATATGCGTGGAATTCTTAATTCAGTCTTAGGAACATAAGATAAGGCAAAAATCTAATGCATTAACAGAATGTTTTATTAAGGTGTAGTATCACATAGCGCTGTGTGGCTTGTTCATTGTGGCACACCGAATGTATTATGTTCTACCACTCATTCAGACCTTTCGTTTGTAATTCTGCATGCCTCGATATCATATAAGCTTAATATAGCATGGCACTGTTCTGTATTGCACCCGTTCACCAGTTGGCCCTCGGTCTGCTCCTTTGCTGCCTGAAAAACCCTAATTTGCCAAAAGCATGACTAATAATTAAATATGAACTAATTTAAAATGAAAAAATTGGAATTGTATTTTATTTTTATCTTCATTCAACTTCACAGTCCGCTATTTCTTTCAGTTGGCGAATGCAGCAGCAGCCTCAAAAAGTTTTTTCATTTTTCTGGATTTTACTTGTGTATAATTTTGGAATATAAAGAAAAACTGAAAACTGAATTGAAAACGAATCGATTAGAAGCCTTGTAAAAGCATAATTAGCAAATGAAGTTTTCGGAACCCACAACAATGTTTCTTTTACAGCACAAATTAATAGCGTTCAGAAAAGGTACACAGTCACGGACAACAGAGTTCTGCAAGGAAATTACTAAAGCATTATAGCCAAGACATACAACATGAGCAAAGAAAATAGGCCATAAAAATGACAGACATGAAAAATAAAAACGATAAATAGATGAGGATTTAAACGAAAAACGGAAAAACAAAATAAGGGAAAGGAAATTTGATGGTAGTCGAAACTGTTACTGAGGATGAGATTCCCTCTAGGTGAAAGATCTTTAAAGCTTAATTCTTCCTGTACATAGGCTGCATAAAATGCTTGAATTAAGAGGATTCACTTGTCAAGAGATTCGCAGTGGCGTTATCACGGTGTAATATCTTTACATTTTGTTATCAGTGCGATGCACTTTCAGTCAGTCAGATTATATGCTGATGTTGTCGCTGAGTTGTAGGTATCTGTAGTATCTTCTTTGTGGATTATTAATTTCTGCTGAAGAAGGAAGACCGTTGTGGGTTCCGAAAGTGTCAGTTCATAAATTGTTTTCTTGCTTCTGTCTTGTATTTGTGTTTTATCATCAACAGCTTATTGGGTCTTTTCTACATTAGTGCTGCTTCGTTTTAGACCTTCCTCAAAAAACTCGGTGAAAGCGGTATTTCGTTCGCCGTTCTTTCCACATTCAAGGAAACCAAGTCTTTGCTGTCGGCGATCATCAACCGGGTTCAAAAGCTGTACGACGAAGTGGTTCTTGCATGCGTATGTGTGCTTGATGATGAAAATTATTTAGCTGTAACATAAGCACCGAGCAAAGACAAGTGATCAAGATTTGCATCATCGGCGCCGATCTGTTTTTCAGTCACTGGTTGAAGGCCTTCACCGAACTTTTCGGTTCGAGACCGAACGAGTGGGTCAGATTCTTCAGGTTTTACATCGTTTCTCAAAGTAAGTTTACGCCAGCTTCTATCCTGTCTCTGTTCTGGCCTTTTTCATATTTGCCTTCTGATGGGCGTTTTTTTTCAGATAACGGTGTCATCCATAAATTCATCGCATCCGTTGACAAACAACATGCGTCGCTGTTCATCGCCGATACGTTGTGGCGCGACTGGTGGGAAAAATCGGACTTGTCTGATACCGGTGACTGTTAAGAAATGCATTTGACGTTCGGTTTATGAACAGTACTCCTCTGAACGTGTGGTACTGTTAAATAATAGTTAACGGTACTTCGCTTCCTCATCAGTCATTCAAGGCAACATGCCGCCTTGATCCACAGATCAGGAAGCGAAGACCACAAACTCTTATTGAAGCAGATCATGAGCCTCTACCGATTCCATGTGAATTAGCAGCGTACGCGGTGTTTATCCCTATGCATTATATGCTGCATGTTGTTCGTGTCGTATAGCTTAAATTTATGTATACAATTATCAAATATGCACCCTACTTTTTTCACCTATCCACTCATATTGCGTGCAGATTGAATGGCGAAGCATTTGCTAGTACGTTATCGAAGTTTCGTCGAGTGTTCGGATTTTAAATTACGATTTAACGTGGTTCTATCGTAGTAGTGGTGAAAATACAAAAGTTATTGGCGCGTAGCTTCTCCACGACCAGATTTCACGATGCGTTGAACCATTGCCTTGATCCTACATGCCTATGACATGATAAGCTTTGCACGGCAACAGGCAACGGTTCCATGGCATTTCAAGTTCGCTGTGCTGCATGTATCTCGCCTGAACAGAACAGGATTTTTTAGTTATAGCGCAATATACTTGCAAGAAAAAGCCAAGACGAAACCCAGACAAGTGTTGAACTCAGAATCTTAACATAACAGCACTAGCAAATTGATAAACTACCTCACCCTTAATGACAGAAAGTCGCCAGTGGTGTGGATGGTGTTTTTTTTCACGGGTGCTACGCTGGTCTTCCCCATAGTCAGTGGGATTTACTGTAGTATAATGATTTAAAGTACGGTGATAAACTGCTATCGAGCTTTCGCTGACCGTCATACTCAAACAGCTTCATCGGATTGGTACCGATGCATCTACCTCTGCGTCGTCATCGGGTTTGAAAACAGGTCTGCTCCAGAAATTGAATCTAGCGTAATTTCTGCGAGGCTGTGAAACGCTGTTCAGCATAAGATGATATTCCTACCATTATTGATATTGCAGAACCCCCGTCTTGACTGTGATAAAGCTGTAAACCGACGTTCTTATCCACAGTACCCTCGTAGCGGTTCATACATTACCAGTGAAGCCTCTCTGGCGACGAACGATTTTGTTTGTGATAAGACAAAGAACTTTCGTTGAGCTAGG